ACGCGTCGAGCCATTCTCGGGTTTTATTTAAGATTTTCCAAAAGGAGACAAATCAAGGAAGGAATGGTTGTGGTCGCATTTAGAATGGCTCGATGCGTTGCGGTCGCGCTACGATTCATGTTTTTTTATATGTTTTTGAGCTGCGCATTCGTCTGGTTTTCAGCCATTCCCAATGCAACCAAATTCACTCCAAAACTAGCCAGAAACATCTCACAAAGATCAAAATACAAACTTTAATCTCAAAATATTTCTCAAGCGTAGGAAGTCGAGGAAAATTTATGCTTCCGATTGATTTACCGTTTTCCGTTCCTTGGCAACAAAGATCAGAAGGTACAATAAATAACGTATCGTAGGAAGAAGAATAAATCTTTTCCTTTCCGAGAACACAACATTTTGGCGAAGAAGGAAAAACCAAAAGATGCAAAGGAGATACCAAGAAAAGGGGATTAATGATGGATTAATACATTTTTTCCTTTTGGACGCTGCTTTTGATTTTTTTGCATGAGACGAGGGACGGGGGTGAAACCGAAATTTAAAAATTGCTAGAAAACTGAATTTTTTTGTGAGTTTTGAAACGGAAAGGAAAAAATAACTAGCAATCTTCAAAAAAAGTCAGATTTTGAGAGGAAATTTTGAAAATTTTTTTGCATTTTGGTTAATTTTTAAAGCTTTCGGAGCTTCAAGTAGCTCAAGCGGTACCCTGATTTTGTAAATTGATCTTCAAGTTTAAAATAAAAACTCAAAGTGAGTTTAAAATTTGAACTTCAAATTTTGCCGCCAAAACGCAGCGCAACCGCGACGCTTCTACAACTGCAAAGTCCAGAAGGTCTCAAAATAAGGCCTTAAAAAGGCATCAAGAGCGCCTATTTCCTACACCTTTTTCTGAAAAGGACCTTTCAAGGAGGTGTAAAAAGATAAGGCGCAAAATAGGTGAAAAAAAGCAGATTTCAAGAAATTTTGACGCCTATTTAGGAACTCAAAAAGGAGCTCTCAGGCTCTTTTTTGAGGTCGTTTGGAGTTTGTCTGTGTAACTGATTTCATGCAGTTTCGAGCCTCAAAAATTGTACTTCTAAGAAAATCACCGGAAAAAGCTTTTCAAAAAGAAACAAGTTGGGAAAATTATTAGAGGCCACTATAGGGTTTTGACGTTTTAGTGGTCGCTATAGTAGTCAAATTAGTTGTCACTTAAAAGGTTGAAAATTAGTGGCCACTATAGAGGTCTAAGTGATACTACTAGATCACTTAGTGGCCATTTTAGGGGTCAATGGATCAACATAACTGGTCCAATCTGTTTGTTTTAAAATTATCAGAGTTACTGGAAGGAATACTGGATGAAAAACTACTGAAGTGGCCACTACAACGGAAAATAGTGGCCACTATAGAGGTGGGTTTAGTGGCCACTTTAGTGTCCTCTTCAAGTAGTCCTTGGCCAGCCTCTATAGTGGCTACTTTAAATTTTCTCAGAGACGTCCATTTTATCTCCCGTTCTTTTTTAATCCACTCAAACCCGCTGGGAAATATACACGAGACTTCGGGTCAATCTCTCAAAAACTTTCAACTTGAGCATTTTTTTTTTCTGTCAAAAGGAAAATCTGGTTGCGTTTTGAAACCTTTCGCTCAAATATTCATCGTGTCGGAAGCCGTAGTTTTCCGGGAAAAGAACGACCGGATGAGCAGAGTTCAATCCAAACATCGTGTAGTGGGGAGAGGGAAAAGAGCCTGGATTTGGCAGGTTCTCGGGAAGAAAATGAGTTTGGGAAAGTCCAATGAGACGAGGGATCTTTTTGAAACGGATTTTAAAAATCCCTTTACTTTTCGAAAAGCGGAAAAAGGGCCATGTTGCGGACGTCGCATTAGACTCGCATTTTGAGAGAAATAACCGGATATTTGCTTCAAATTAAGGGTTTCTTTTCTGAAAAATGATTAAGAAAACAAAAAACCCACACCGATAATAAAGGACACAAAATATGGCTATCCCAATCGAAACCTGTGTAAAATCATCATTTTTCACGAGAAAAGCTTTTTTGCGATCAAAGTTTGCAAATTATACATGAATAGAAAGCTTTTGTGACGAAAAGAACTTTGGTGACAACAGAAAAAATTGAAAATTGAAAGAAACGAAGAAAAAAGCGAAAATACAAAAAATGGCGAAGCCTGTTGTCCACAGAGCAACTTTACTGCAAAGTGCCCTTTTCGCGGGAACTCAAGCTTTCCTCTCTCCGACTTTGAATTATTTTTTCTCCAAAACTAGGAAATTCTGTACGTTTCCAAGTTCACTGTTCGATTTGCAATGAAAAACTCTACAAAATACTGCTTTGAACTGAAACACCGTTTTTTACTGCCCCTATGCCTTTAAAAACAGTATGACGACGTTAAAAATGAAAGAAAATTTTTTTTGCTCCAGAAAGTTCAAAAGAACATTTCGTAAAGTTTTCATGCACTATTCTTCCTGTTTTCGAGAACTTTTTGAATATTAATTGTAGCCTTGGAGACTCGACGCCTTCTTTGCCAAAAATATTTTGACATTTTTCAAAAACCTCTCAAAAACATAAAATTTTTCAACATTCAAAAAACGGAAGGATTAATGAATTCTTTCAATTTTGGGTGGAGCTTGACGTTTCCTGGCTAAATATACACTCTATCAAAATTTATGCAGTTGCAACATTTGCCAAAACTTATTATGCATCGTCACGCAACACTTTTTGGCTCTATCTCAATGAAAATGCGTAGGCCGGGGGAGATAAGTTGAGAGATACTCCAGTGTTTTCACTTATAAACGATTTTCAAGCTTTGAACCAATTTTTTCTCGAAAAAAAAGTCAGATAAATCATGAACGTACAAAAAAAAATCAACCGAAACGAGTTTTTTGTTAATTTTCATCGGCCAGATTGTAGGCCTCTCCAAAAGCTGCCGAAAAATATAACATTTGCCCATTAAACTTCAAAAAGAAAATGGCAAAAACGATTTGATCTCGGGCGGGCTCGAACCGCCGGCCTTCTGTGTGTTAGACAGATGTGATAACCACTACACCACGAGATCACGTACGACGGAGTGAGCGCAGGCCGTACCGACCTCCGCGTCGCCTTCCAATGCATTGGGAGGTCGTCTCAAAGGAAACATGCAGATTTTAGATTTTGTTCGAATTTTCCAGTTTTTGCAAAATAATTAACGAGTATATCAAGAGAAATGTTTTCCGTCGGTCGTTTCTGAGAAGTTGAGGAGGAAAACAAAAAGAAAACCGATGGGAAATCTTCTCACATAAAAAATGAAGAAAAAAGCATAAATTGATATTTTGGATTATGAAAAAATGTGTTGAAAACTCGGCTGGAACGAAAATATTTGTATTTTTCCTAGTTAAGGTCAATTCAAGTTGAACCTCGGCTCTTCAAAAGGCGCTTATTAACAGTCGAAAACAAAAATCGTCATGTTTTGCGAAATTTTTTTCAGGGAAAAGATGGTTGATTCGAGGAATCTCTAAAAATAAATCAGAAAAGTGCGCCAAAGGACGATGCTGAAGTAACTCGAGTTACTACGAGAGTTTTTTCGAAATTTTTTAGTTTAAAATTTTTTTTTAGTTTCATTTTTTGTTTTTCTTTTTACAAATAGCTTTGTTTAATGTCACTTATGATAAATTTCGAACATTCCAATTTATTTTGAAAAATATCCAAAACTACAAAACTCAAATTTTCAAAAATTTATTTTCATAAACTTTCCTTATCGATTTTCTTGCAAAATTTTCTATCATTCTCAAAAAAAAGGGTTCAAAAACTAACGTCAATTGAGTTCTCAATGAACTTTCACATAATACAATTACATAATCCGAAGAACGTCTTTGCGTACAAATTCATGAGTAATCAAAGTTTGAAAGGAAGATTTACGCACAAAAATGGAATTTCATTCATATTTCCCATTCATTTTGTGATTATCGGTAATCCGTCTGTCGTATTTGCAAAAAAAAATAGTAGTCAGTGAAAATATAACGAAAAGGGTGAGTCTGGGTAAATATTAAGTGGCCATTTTGGGGTTTGGCAGTTTCAGTGGCCACTGTAGTAGTCGAATTAGTAGCCACTTTAGTGCTTTAAGTTCAATGACCTCGTTAGAAGTCTCATTTGTACTACTGGAGTCCACTAAAAACACTATAGTGGACACTAAGACGCACGACAGTGGGTTCTATAGAAGCGGTTTTAGTGGCCACTTTAGTGTCTTCTCTAAGCAGTTCTTGAGGAAGTTCTTAAGTGGCCACTAGAGTTTTCGACAGTTAGGCAACTTTTTGAGCTTCCAGGGAAAATTTCAAGTGGCCACTTTAGGGTTTCGACGTTTTAATTGTACAAAATACTTCAGAAATCTATCGAGTCCTAGTGAAACTTACTAAATTTTGAAAAAAGGGTCAATAAAGCCGAATTTTTGAAACCTCCCCCTCTCGCTCCGATTTTGAAGCTTATTATATACCTTCCAACAAATTTTTTTGATTTTCGAACCTGATTATAAGTTTAAAATGATTAAATAAATTATAAAAAAATCACATTGCAAGAAGCTTTGAAATGAACAAATTTTCAACATTTCTACCACAAAAATTTTAATAAATGGTTCCAAAAAGAGGATCCCAATAATTTAACAAAGAAAAAAGAAAAACAACAGAGGAAACGTTTATTCTAACCAAAGAGGCCGCAAAGTTGAAAATTACCAAAAAAAAAGAAAAAATTTTAAAAGGAGTATGAGGAAAAGGTAAAGGAAAAAGTGACGGGACGAGCCACGAAATTATTTTTTTTTGCTATTTTTTTGATTTTTGAGTTCAATTTTTCAGGTTTTTGAGCTTATTTGATACCTTCAAATAAACTTTTAGATTTTTTTCAAGGAGGATTATAGGTTCAAAATGAACATATGAATTTTAAAAAATCGCGTTTCCCGCGGGAAATGCGTTGAATCGAGCACACAATTGCTAACGCCTCATTCCCGTCGAATTTTTCCAATTTTTACTACTTTCGAACCGTTGAAAAATTTCATTCTTTGGCCACTTTTTCCGCCGAAGCTGGTTGAACCTGACGTTGGCGGAGCTCGTTGGCGAAAATGCTCTGGAAAAAATTTTTGTATTTGTATTTTTTTCACTCGGATACACAGGTCATAATGAACTACTATTTTCATTGAGCAGAAATATTTTTAAAAGTCAAATTACCGTCGATTCGAACAAAAAAGGCAAAAAGAGGCCGTCTAGGTTCAAAAAAGCATTATTCGGCCGAATTTCTCCAGTTCTTTGGAACGTCAGAGTGGTCCCTCTAGGGGCCCATAAAGGTTTTGCTCTAGGGACACCTCTACCTTCCCTATAGGGACCACTACAGCTTTAGTGGCTCAGGAATAGGGCCCTAAACTCCTATTGAGGCCATCTAAGTTTCACCCCTAAAGGGACCACTTATTCGTCCTTTAAAAAAGCAATTTTGCTTCCACTACTATAGGGACCCTCTGGCGTTCCAGAGTTTTCCACGATTTTATTTTTTTATAATTGGAAATTTTTTTCCAAGAACAGTTGCGTAACATCATTAGTCTTACAACCGATTTTTTTAGAAAAAATTAATTATGAAAAAAACTTGGGGGTCTTTTTTTGGTTATCTTTGGTCTTTGGACTAATTTTTTTGTAAAAAAACTTCAAAAAAATATTGAAAATTATCACCTCAATTGCCAGGCGGTTCTCCTGCTCCTTGACTCGAACTTTGTCGCGTTCGAACTTGTTGAGCTTCTCCAGGACGGCGTCAATTTGATCAACGACGGAAATGATCGACGATTCGATTTGGTCGACTCTTCTGTTCATTCTGAAACGTAAAAAGATAATAAATTTTAGGGAATTATTTCGATCAAAGCAGCTATCAAAACGGATGAAAAGAGCCAATTCATAAAAATTACGTCAAAAAAACTAACTTCATGAAGAGGATCCGAACCTAGGACCTCCTTCACTAGATTTAAGGCTTCCAACCACTGGAACATCAATTTTCAATAAAAATAGAATAAACTTCAATAACTAACATTGAGAGTTTATTGTTCACTCACAAAATCAGAGCTTTGCAGAAAAAGCAAAAAAATTTTCCTCGACAGGATTCGAACCTACGACCTCCTTCACCAAATTCGAAACTTTTAACCACTGAACTATCTTTTTTTTTAAAGAAACGCGATAAAATTGAAAAGCTATCAGTGAGAGTTTGTTGTTCACTCACAAAATCAGAGCATTGCAAAAAATGCAAAAATGTTTTTTTTTTCGACAGGATCCGAACTTGTGACCCCTTTCACCAAACTCGAAACTTTTAGCCACTTGACTATCATTTTTTAAAAAAGAAACGCGATAAAATTAAAAAGCTATCAGTGAGAGTGTATTCTTCACTCACACAATCAGAGCTTTGCAAAAAAAAGCAAAAAAATTTTCCTCGACAGGATCCGAACTTTTGACCCCCTTCACCGAATTCAAGGCTTCTAGCCACTGGGCTATCATTTTCATAATAAAATGCGATAAATTTTTAAAGCTATCAGTGAGAGTGTATTGTTCACTCATAAAATCAGAGCTTTGCAAAAAAAGCAAAAAAATTTTCCTCGACAGGATTCGAACCTACGACCTCCTTCACCGAATTCGAATCTTTAAGCCACTGGGCTATCATTTTTTAATATAAATGCGATAAACTCTAAAAGCTACTATTGAAAGTTTGATGTTCCCTCACAAAATCAACATCTTAAAAAAATGGCAAAAGAAAATTTTCACCGAGAAGGTCCGAACCTACGACCTTTTTCCCCGAGCTCAAGGCTGTTAGCCAATAGGCCATCATTTTTGCGATAAATATACTAGCAATAAGATTTTTAGATGTTGTAAAGATCTCAAAAAAATAATGGCAAAAAATTTTCCTTCGAGAGGATCCGAACCCAAGACCCCTCTATCCAAGCTCATAAACTTTACCACTACACCATTCACTTACACAATGTAGTCCTTATGATTTTCGGTGTAATTCTTGTTTCTGTCCATGATCGCAGTCATCTCAACGCCAAGGTCTTCCATCATCTGCAAAAAGCGATCGATAAGCGTATATGACGTCATTTTTCGTGTCGGGGATTTTTTTGGTTTGCAATGGATGCTCCTTTAAATTTTCAGAGTCTTTGAAAATCAAAAAATTTTAGACTAAACTTTTTCCAAGTGTAATTGGGAAACAACGAGGAGTATAAAATCAGCCAATCATTTTTTTTTCAGGCCTTTGTGAATAAACGATCCTCACCTTATCACTAACCGCCTCACTCGATTCGATATTATACTTGGTGAAAGCTTCGTTAATGTCCTTTTCATCGTATCCGGCTCTGGAATCCATTTTTTCCCTCGAAAACCCTAAAGTGACCACTCACCGGATCAACTCGACCTTGTAGTCTTCGTAGGTGATGTCATTGGTTGGAGCGTCGGGCTTTTTTCCTCGTTTCATCATCCGTCGGACTTTCTTCAATGACGTCATAAGTATTGATTAATGACTTCATTTTGCTCACCGACATGACCCAATCCAAAACGCCGGTTCCGTCTTTTTTCCGGGCCAACTCGGCTTTCACTTCGACGTAGGAGTCGTTGATGATAGCCAGGAACATGTTCTGGGAGGAAAAAGCTTAGCCGAGTCGCATAGCCGGGTCAAAGAGAAAAGCAAGTTTTTTTTTCGAAATGAAAATTTCAGAATTTTAGATTCTTTCAACTTTTTCATGCTGAAAATAGACCGGATCTTTTCAGCCGGGTCGCGAGTTTGAGTTTTAGCCGCGTCGCACAGCCGAGTCACAGAACTTTCATGTGTTGAAGCAATTACAGTAAATAGTCTACCAATGACTTTGTTTGAACTTGAAAGAAAAAAAAGCATTTTTAGCCGAGTCGCACAGCCGCGTCACATAGCCGAGTTGCTTAGCCGAGTCGCTTGGAAAAAAAATTTTGGATCCTTCTCAGCTTCTTTCTTTTGCAGAGTATCTAGTCAAGTATTCGAGCTAAAGTCATAGCCGGGTCGCTCAGCCGAGTCGCACAGCCGAGTCGCACAGTCGAGTCGCACAGCCGATTCGCGCAATCGAGCCGCACAGCCGAGTCGCACAGTCGAGTCGCACAGCCGAACCACACAGCCGAGTCGCAGAGCCGAGTGGTACAGCAGAGTCGTACAGCCGGGTCGTACAGCCAAGTCGCACAGCCGAATCGTACAGCTGAGTCGCACAACTGAGTCGCACAGCCGAGTCGCTCAGCCGAGTCGCTCAGCCGAGTCGCTCAGCCGAGTCGCACAGTCGAGTCGCTCAGCCGAGTCGCTCAGCCGAGTCGCACAGTCGAGTCGCTCAGGACTAACTCTTTTTCTGTTATTTTTTGAAACGTGACCGTTCGCGGAACATACTAATAAGTTCAATTTTAAGCCATAGCCGAGTCACTTAGCCGCGTCGCAACTCACCAGCAACACGAAGAAGACGAAGAAGACGTAGGAGATGAAAAAGGCCGGGCCGAGGATTCGGTTCGTCTTTTCCAAGGCATTGAAGTCGAAATCGCCAAGAATCGTTCGGAGCAGGGCGAACACGGCGTCATAGAAGGTGGAGTAGTCGGAAATCTGAAGGATTTTTGAGAACTTTTCATGAGATTTTCAAATTTTCAAGGACGGAAGAAGCTTAATATGATGCTACAAAAGTTGAAAGTTTTTCAAAATCGCTGGGGAATTTCTAGTGGCCACTTTAGGGGTTTGACGTTTTAATGGCCAATATAGTAGTAGATTTATCGGCCACTCAAGGGCACCAAACAGTGGCCACTTTAGTGTTCTCTCCAAGTAGTCCTTGAGGGACCTCTTAAGTGACCACTAGAATCATTATTCCGAGATATTAATGAATTCACCTGAGTTCCAAAGGTCAAATAGCCAAACTGAGCGTAGGCGAAGAAGAACACGGCGAACATGACGGCGAAACCGCCGATATCCTTGGCGGATCGCGTCAAAGTCGCGGATAATTGCGACATCGTCTTGTTCACGCTGATGTACTTGAACACCTGGAAAACGCAAAATTCTCATGTTCTCTTTCGCGAATCTCCAACTATTAAATACGAATGCGAAGTGTTTTTAAGCAGTTATTTATCCTTTCTCTGTAACACAAAACATAAATTATACAGATAGTACCGGGTTTTTCGCAATACCTAACTTTTTTTTTAGAGATTTTGCTCTAGGAACATTTCTAAGCTCCGCCTTGCGCCTTTAATGACAGCTCTGCGCTTTGAAGCGGCGCCCTGCGCCTCTAAAAAATCACCTAAACTTCAAAGCTCCGCCCTACGCCTTTAAAAAATCACCTAAACTTCAAAGCTCCGCCCTGAGCCTTTAATGACAGCTCTACGCTTTAAAGCGGCGCCCTGCGCCTTTAAAAAATCACCTAAACTTCAAAGCTCCGCCCTACGCCTTTAAAAAATCACCTAAACTTCAAAGCTCCGCACTGCGCCGTTAAAAAATACCTAAACTTCAAAGCTCCGCCCTGCGCCTTTAATGACAGCTCTACGCTTTGAAGCGGCGCCATGCGCCTTTAAAAATTCACCTAAACTTCAAAGCTCCGCCCTGCGCCTTTAATAACTACTCTACGTTTTAAACCTCCGCCCTGGGCCTTTAAAAAATCACCTAAACTTCAAAGCTCCACCCTGCGCCTTTAATAACTACTCTACGTTTTAAACCTCCGCCCTGGGCCTTTAAAAAATCACCTAAACTTCAAAGCTCCACCCTGCGCCTTTAAAAAATCACCTACACTTTGAAGATCCGCCCTACGTCTTTAAAATCTCATATTCACTTCACAGCTCCGCCCTGCGCCTTTGAAAACTCATATGTACTTTGAAACTCCACCCTGCGCCTTTAATAATTTTTCTAACCTTGAAAGCTTCGTCCTGCCCCTTTAAGAACACATTTACAATTTGAATCTCCGCACTGCGCCTTTAAAAACTCATCTAACCTTCAAAGCTCCGCCCTGCGCCTTCAAAAATTTCTCTACACTCTGTAAAAGCTTTTAAAAAGCCAGTGAAACTCAGTATAATTTCTAAAACTTTAGATTCTATGAAACTTCAGCCTGTTCAGACTCCGCTTTTTTTCTGATTGTAAAATTTTTAGGATCTCTGAAAAAGTCATCAACTCATTAACCTTGATCCAGGCGAGAAAAAGAAGAATCGCGACAATATTTCGGTACCAATTTTCCGCAGCTACAACGTCATCAAATGAAGCCGTTTGTAAGCCGTCTGAACACGTTTTTTTCAAAAATCTTCTTTGAAATTCAAGAAAGAAGGGAAAATAACTAACTGCTCAGAATTTGATTGATACGATTCGTAGAAATCTTCGTTTTCCGGTAGGAAAGGACGATCGCCGCGCCGCAAAGCTTAAATATTGAGTTTATTGTTTTTCCTGAACCTTAATATGGAGTTCATCATTTAATTTAATAGTGCTAACTCTGTTTATTGAATTTGTCCAATTTTCAAAGTGAAAAAAAAAACACTTTTTTCCCTTTTTTAGTCCTTTTTGAGCCCTAGGAAAAACTCTAGTGGCCACTTAAGAGATTCCTCAAGGACTACTTGGAGAAGACACTAAAGTGGCCACAAAAATCACTTCTATAAAAGCCACTATTTTGTGTCTTAGTGGCCACTTTAGCAGTTTTTAAGAAAATAGAAGTACCAATTAGACCTCTGAGGGCCTACTATTCAGTCCCTTTAGGAACCACTAAAAGGTCAAAACCCTAAAGTGATCCCTAAAATTCTCCCAATTGTTTGAACCTTTTTTCGGGCGATTTCGGACTATTATTTCTAATTGAACCTTTCGTTTTCTGAAACATCCTGGCCGCATGGGGAATGGTTCAAAATTGCAACTTTGTGGAGTTTTTGCTTTGAAAACACGCTCGACCACAAAATGTATAACAATTTTTGAAAATATTGTTGATTTAAATGTTATCTAAAATGGCTTTTTGAGTTATAAATTTTTGTGCCGAAGCCAATTGATTCTTTTTTCGTTTCAGAATATTCAAAATGCGTTTTTTGAAGGCTTAGGCTTGGGTTTTTTTCTTCAAAAAATGTTTTAGGACTTCACGCGACGAATTTTCCTGAAAAAAACATTTCGTGTGATAAATTGTTTGGCAAAAGAGATTACGTTCATATATTTCCTTTTCAATAGGTTCATTGTGCGTTTGAATAAATTCAATCTATTCTAAAAGTTCAAGAAGACCTTGAAAAACACTTTTCAACGTTATGTTTTCATCCAGTAAATGCGCAAAAAACGGCTCTCACTGTCGCGCCACTATTGCAATAAGCCGCGCCCCCATTGCATACGGCCACGCCCAATGACCACATCTGCCGCCTGTTTGGGAACTTCCCAAAATCACTCACCGATAACGTGATAATGTCAATCAAGTTCCAAAATGAGGCGAAATACCGTAACCGACTTCTGATCACCTCGAAAATCTCCTCGAAGACGAAAAATGCCTTCAAAATTGGATATTTTTGGTGGATTTCCGTTGAAAATCACCACAAATCCTGTGAATATTCCTTCAATCGCGATCATAAATTTGCCAAAGGTTCCTTGGTACCGAATAAGGTCCATCGCCGTCAATCTCGCTGTAGGGATCACTCCGCCGGTGGCGGGAAGTTCAAATAAAAGCCTGAAAACTTTTCTTTCGTTCCTTATTTCATTTTGAAGGGCAAGGTATATGGTGAAAAATTACTGAATGACGCAGAAAAGGTTGATATTTCCGTTGTAGAGGGCAAAATCGACGATGACCGCCCGAGTGCCGCGGCTGATCCAACGGTTCGCCTGGAGAATAATCCATTTCAAATTTGGAATGGCTCGTACGCGAAGCGGTCGCGGCGCGGCTTGGATACGTCGTTTTGAATTTATAAAAGTTTTTAGCACACTCCAACTTTGATAAGAAGTAACTGTACTTTATACACTATACTTTACGGAAATATAATCCGAATTTCCCGCTACGTATCGTTATTTGGCTGCGCATCAACTGAAAACTCTAACTTGTCTGAAAAAAATCTCAGAGCTTCAGAATATCTTCGTGGACAGAGACAAAGATTTTTCTATTTTTTCTATCCTTCATTTGGCTTCGCATCAACTAGGACAACCAGATTTTTTCACTGCCGCCTCGTATCCCTTTATTCGCTGCGCATCAACTCAACTTTTTACGAAAAAAATTTATTTTTTTTTCAGAAAAAGCCCTGTGAACATAGAAACGTTTTAAGCTATTTGTTCTGTTACATAACCCTCATTTCGCTGCGCATCAACTCAAAGTTTAAAAGAAATTGGCTTTATCGAAATCCCGAAAGCTCTGGCTAACATAGAGATTTCTCCAGATCCACGTATCTCATATTTCGCTGCGCATCAACTCAAAGTTTTCGAGAAAAAAAGACTTTTAAAAATCTCGAAATCTTTAGCATTATAAAGACGACTTTTACAGAAAAGTTTAACTTTTTTTTCCCGCTTCGTATCACAAATTTCGCTGCGCATCGACTGAAAATTCACAAAATGAGAGGCTTTATCGAAATTCCAAGGCTCCTGGGATCTTAAAACACTTCTAGTTTTTTCCTTTTTCGCTGCGCATCGACTCAATATTCAAAAGATAAGATGTCTTGTTGAGATCCAAGAAGCTCGCACGTATCTGTTATTTCGCTGCGCATCGACTTATTGATTAAAAATAACCGATAATTGGCTGATGTAAGCCTGAGCGGTGATGGAATCCGTGAGAGGCAGACGTTGGACGAATCCGCCGCCTCCGTAGGTCGAAATGGAGCCTTCTAGACTGTTCGTCTCCAGTTTCTCCGCGGAGGAATAGACGTACCTACAGTACACCACTCAGATTACTGTAGATATTACTGTGCCTACGCATCACTGTTGGCGGGTCCAAAGGAGGTCTTGTCCTCGAAACGCTCCTCGTAGCTGGCGAAGCATTCTTTGATCTCCCGGGAGAAACTTGCCACCACCGAACACGATTTATTCGTTACCTTGGTTCAATTACAGATTATTGATTGAAATTTGCTCAGGTACCTTCAACATCCGGATCCTCGGCTGCCCGAGTAACTTATTTTCAAAGTAAACCATCGCCGTTTCATTCACTCTTGGGTCCGTTTGGTTCCGATTCTGGGCATTCGACTCGGTAGAGTATAGACCAGTTATCAGAACTTCGTTGAGGTACTGAAATGGAAGATTTGATGTCTTCTAGAAGAGAAAGTCATGCTGATTTTGACAGTCTTAAAGGCATAGGAGCAGTAAAAAACGGTGTTTCGGTTCAAAGCAGTAATTAGTAGAGTTTTTCATTGCGAATCGAACGGTGAACTTGGAAACGTACAGAATTTCCTAGTTTTGGAGAAAAAATAATTCAAAGTCGGAGAGAGGAAAGCTTGAGTTCCCGCGAAAAGGGCACTTTGCAGTAAAGTTGCTCTATGGACAACAGGCTTCGCCATTTTTCGGATTTTCGCTTTTTTCTTCGTTTCTTTCAAATTTCAATTTTTTCTGTTGTCACCAAAGTTCTTTTTGTCACTAAAGCTTACTATTCATGTATAATTTGCAAACTTTGATCGCAAAAATGCTTTTCTGGTGAAAAATGATGATTTTACACAGGTTTCGATTGGGATAGCGATATTTTGTGTTTCCTTTATTATCGGTGTGTGTATTTTTTTTGATTAGATGTTTTTTTCAAAAAATAAACCCTTAATTTGAATCACAAATCCGGTTATTTCTCCCAAAATGCGAGTCTAATGAGACGTCCGCAACATCGCGTGCACGGCTACTGTAAACATTTGTCTGCATACCGATCCAAAGCTTTTTTCAAAATTAAAGGCGGGAAAGTAAAATCGCGTTTTTCTTCAAAAGTAGTCACATCTGTAATTTTTTGATAGCACAGTTCGATTCGCAAAGAAAAACTATACAAGATACTGCTTTCACCTGAAACCCCGTTTTTTACTGCCCCCATGTCTTTAAAGAAGTTAAGAAATATCAAGTAGTTGATGAGATATTGATGTGAAAATGAAGTGAACTATGGTCCGCATTCCCGAATTTAAAATTGCTCAGCGTTTGAAATATTTCAACTCTTATAGTTCATCCCCCACGACTTGACAGTTTTCGTGTGTCTGAGTCTATCTGTTCTCTCACTAGAGAGGTCAGAGAAAGATGAAAAGAGCACGTCAACATGAGAGAGCCGCCGAGAGACGAGGAAGACGTAGAGAAGAAAGTTTCAAGTCGCGAAAAACGGACTATATTGAAAAATATATTAGCAAAACTACATCGAAGACGTCGCTCATCGCGGCGACGTCGGTGAACGCTTTTTCCGAATCGGAGCCTTGACGAGCCACAAATAAGTCATTGACGACCTTCGTGTAGTAGTAAGTTTGAACGGAATGGCGAGAAAAAGCGGCTGAAAATAATTAAATTTCATTTTAAAATTTTTTTTTTGATTCACCAAAAACCAGGACGAGAAGGAAAATCGCGTACATTCCCACTTCGAACAGCGATTTCACCGACATGGTCATCGTTCCGTCCATTTTTTCAACTGAAAAACAATTTTATTACAGTAACTCTTCCTTGGATTACGGTAGTTTGAAAGCATATAAGAAACAGTAACTCTTAAACTAGTATTACGGTAACTGGGGTTCATATTTTTTACAGTACTCCAGTAAAAGTCCTTGGTATAAAAATCAACATCATGAATTTTAGAATATTCCTACCATGAGAAGCCATGAGCGCTTGTTTGAAAGTCATGTGGTCCGTCGGAGGCTGGTTTTTTCGCTTTTTCGTCACATCTTCGTACTCCTGAACACGGGTTTTTGCGCGTGAACTTGGGTGCACGGTGTGTCCACGTACGAAACATTTTAAATTACGACAGCTAAGACATTTGAAAAGTTTGATGGTACGACAAAATCTCAAGTCCGCAAATCTCGAGGACCGTAATCTTGTGTACGCAGATCTAAAGTCCCATAATCTTGGAAACCAAAATCTTGGAGACCAAAATCTTGGAAACCACAATCTTGAAAAGTAAAAATCAACGCTTTTGCGAATAGATTTTATCAGAAATTGTATTCGGTGATCCAAACAAGAGAATATAAGTAGATAAAGTGCAATAAAGAAGACTAAAAGGGAAGATTTTTGCTTTCCAAGATTGTGGTTTCCAAGATTTTGGTCTCCAAGATTTTGGTTTCCAAGATTATGGGACTTTAGATCTGCGTACACAAGATTACGGTCCTCGAGATTTGCGGACTTGAGATTTTGTCGTACCATCAAAAGTTTCATTGTTTTTTTTTTTGCGTTTTTTTGCGATTGCAGTTTTTGGTTGGTTTTTAAAGCTTTTGATGGCGCGTTCAATGTAGTTTTGCGACTATCGAATTGATTTTTGTATTTTCATAAATTCGTTTGCTTTGTCACTTTCTGATGGTTTTTCTATACAACTGTCATTTTTCTGTCTCTGTTGAAGTTGTTTTGAGGATTTTATGGTGGTATGAAAAAAAAACCAGCAAAAATTCAAACGGCGACTTTTCCGATTTTTTCATATCGCTAGGGAACTTTCCGACTTTTTTTCTCGATAAAATCTTCGTTTTAAATCTTCCTATATAAAGTAGGTAGTTGGCTCATGATTAAAACACAAAGAAATAGGAAAAAAAATGATTATAGATTTTTTTATAAACCGAAAAACAAAAGGAAAAAAGTCGGAAAGGTGGCCGCCGGAAAGTTCCCAATCGAATTGAAAAAATCGGAAAAGTCGCCGTTTGAATTTTCGCTGGTGTTTTTTTTTATACTATCGATTTTATTGGCTTATTCATAAATAAAAAAGCTGAAGACTGTATTGTCTGAAAAATTCTTCAATTTGCTTTCATAAATCGCTGAAAAGTTGATAAGGTCCATAGCATAAATCATAAACCTCAGAAGCCAGGGCGTTTTCAAAAGTCGGCAAATTTGAGTGGGCGATTGGCGGCGGGTTGTCCCATCCCGCCGTTGAATAGTCCATCTAAAAAAATTTCCGTTTTTTAAAAATGTTCAGAAAAATCGAAATGAAGAGAACCTTGCTAGGAAAATATGTAAGAATGGAGGAAGAGCAGATGTTCCACCAGAAAGGAGAAGCTGTTGCCCTTGGTTTTTTCCCGGATTTATATGAAAATCGAAGGATGGTCCTGGCAACGTGAATTTATGCATGGAAACATGAGAAAATTTTTGGTTTTTTTCTGAAAATTTCAAGAAAAAAAAAAGAAAAAACTATTCTTTCGTTATATTTTATTTGTCGCAATTTGAAATTCCGTGACCGCACTTGGAATGGCTTGGAGTTAATTGGAAAAAAATATTTTCAGTTTTTTTGAGCTTTTTTTACCTTCTTTCCAAAAAAACTTTAAAAAAATTTTGATTTTTTTCAAAAAAATTTTCAAGTAATTTTCGTCTCTTACTGGAATGAAAAATTGAATTTTTCACAGTGTTTTTTTCATTTTATACGCTAATCTTTTTGAAAAAAATGATGAAATAGCGACTTTAGGTTAAAAATTATGATGGCAGAAAGTGCATTCGAGTTTTTCGAAAATTTTTTAACTTTAAAAGTCGAGTTTACTTTTTCCAGTCAGACAGCCTTTCAAGAACCTCCGTACCACTAAGACATAATTAAACTTTCGAAAAGCTGTTATTTTCTTCTTTTTTTCTTTGAATGACTCAGAAACGGCAGGTGGCGATTGTTTTGGTGGTAAGCCTACAATTTGGATGACTCATACGCTACACAACCTGAATTTCAAAATTGTGACCTGATGGATTGGTTTGATGGTAAAAGGGAGTTATGAAATTACTTACTTTGATACTTTGGGATTTGCGGAATTTTTACTGATCCAATTTAGGGTACACATTTTTTTTTCTCGATTTTTCTCAATTTTTTCATTTTTTTTTTCTCAAGCTCTCTTCCTAAGTTTAACCAACTTAGGGTTCCATGGTTACACTTGGAATGGGTTAAAAAAATATAAAAATCGGATTAATGTTTTTTTCAGATTTTTTTAAATGACCGTAATACTTCAAGCCATTCTTCGTGCGACCAGTGCCTTTGGACTCTAGACAAAAATTTAACTTTCTTTCTTTTTGAGCCTCACTTTATGCTACAATCCGCTTTTTCGTGATCACCAGACTAGAAACACAATTCCGTCAAGATTACACCGATTTTCCAGACTTTCTCTTCCCTTCTCGTCATTTTTAAAGCCATTTACCCCAACTTTTTCAATAATCAGTGGTATTGTTTTTAAAGAAGCATAGAGCAAATTAATTTATAAGTTTTTGGAGGCGATTCCAAAGTAAATTGCGGTAATAAAAGGCTTCTATGCCGTTCAAACCATAATTTTCCAGTGGCCCCTATAGAGGTTCTCAATTTAGTGGCCACTTCAGTAGTTTTTCATCCAGTATCCCTTCCAGTAACTCTGATAATTTTGAAACAAACAGGTTCGACCAGTTACGTTGATCCATTGACCCCTAAAGTGGCCACTAAAATTTTTAGTGGTCTTGTAGTAGCACTTAGACCTCTAAAGCGGCCACTAATTTGTAACCCCTTAATTGGCCACTAATTTGACTACTATAGTGGCCACTAAAACGTCAAAACCCTATAGTGGCCACTAAAAATTTTCCCAGTTAGTGCTGCAAAATTATCTTTTCAAATTCCTCAACATAGCTTTGAACCCGGCAAAAATATCAATTTCACTCGGAAAAGCTCAACCAAAACTCTCTTCCATTTTCAGTACTTGACCTCTTTCCCAATGAATTGATGGAAAAAGATGCCTTGGGGCCATCGGCTGGCGATCATTCACCGTTCGTTTCCGTTGTAAACCTCACCTTGGGCCGAGAATCTCTCCTCACAACAACAACAGGAGGGCGCAGACGACGCAACAACCCAAGTCGACGAAGAAAAAAAAAGTTTAAAAACGCCCCGTTGGCTCGGAAGTCAGTCGAGAGCCGAGCGACCATGTGCAAGGCTCAGATTTTTGTTGTTCTTGGCCTTCTCGCCATCGCTTCTTCTGTTCAGGTTGGCTTCATTTTTCATTATTGAGCTGGAATTGTAGAGCTGAAAAATGCGAACAAAATGGTATGAGAATGAAGGTTTAGAACCTCCATCTTCTAGACTTATGATTTTTTTTTTCTGGCAGATTTTTTAAAACTTCAATTTTTAGTCCTTTTTCTTCAAGTTTTTTAATCGATTTCGAGGTTTCGAAATTTAAAAAATGTGTTCAAAATAGTGGTAATTCGAATTCTTGAGGCTATGAATGTAGAAGCTTTTTTTCGAAATCCCACAGAATTTTTGAACTTTTTTTCATTATCTTAGTAGATTTGAAGTGTTAGTTCGAGTTTAAATCTTAGAACTTAATTTTTTTAAAAAAACTGTGTCATCAAATTTCTGAATTTATGATCTTTTATTGATCACGGAAATTTTTTTCTCATTCATTTTCCTACCACTTTTCTTTGTTTCTTTGGAAATTCAACCAAAAAATGGCCTCTAATCGGCTTAAAAAGATAAATTTACCTTTCCCCTTGTTGACTTTTGCTCTTATACAAATACTTCCTCCCGTTCGTCATTTTTCAACCTTCATTATATTCGAACAAACAAAAAAGACTATGAGAAAAGTTTCTGAAAAGAGTTCTTTTCGAAACCATGATATTTATGAAAACCTTTGACAGATTTTATAGAAAGTAGCACATATGACGCTGACTCAATAAGCAAATATCATACAAAAAAGACTTTTAATACTTTTTTGATCCAATATTTGGCTACATGACTAATAAAATCCATAAAGAAGTTTCTATTTGAAACCTACTGATTTTTTTTTCTGAACTTATGCCACAAAATTTCAAGTTTTTCAATGGGTAAGAAAAAAAAAGAAAAAAAAATTGAATAACAAAAAAAATTGGGTTATGTGTCAAGTGCGCCCCATGGCCAATCGAATATCGATCGAGCATTGAAATTTTTTTAATTTTTTAAAAATGTTTCCCCTTTTTTTTCAATAATTTTTTGTGATTTGAGGGAGCTGTGCGACGTGATACCGCTGTCGCAGTTCCCAACGTCGCTCTGAACTTCCGTGATAACTGCTACATCAAGGAATCTGGAGGTTTCCCACCATCTTTCTTCAATTATCATTTTTTTTTTCGATTGTAGGTTGCAAGTGCGTGGTGAATGAAGGTCACGACGAAGTCACTACTCGTGAATATGACGACATCGATTTCTGCAAGAAGCCGGTTGAATGTTCGTTTTGTTGTTGTTGTATAGTCTGTTCAGATTTTGAATGTCAACCAGCTAACTCCGCCCTGCTGAGACGGCACCTTTTCGCGTCGATGTTTTATCGCGCGGGACTAATTTTGACCTTTTTGGATCTAAAAGATAGAAAAAGAAGTCAAAAATGCAGCATTATTAAAGGTTCATCGTCATCTGGATATAAAACATTGACGCGAAGGAAATTGTAGCCTTGGAGGTGGAGTTAGCTGCTTGACATTCAAAATCTGAACAGACTATAGTTGACCTCAGACACGAATAATGTCACTATTTTTTGACCCAGAACTCCCCCAAAGTCGTGTATAGTTTTAATTTTTGAACTTTCACTTTTTATTTCAGGGTTAAGTGATCTTATTTTTCGGTAGGAAGATCAATCGATCCACGTTCAAAATCTTTTAAAATCCCTATGAGGCCAGAAAAAGGTAAAAATTTCGACCGGGACGCGACTTGGCAGCTCTACTTTTTTATTGTTTTCCTATAAAAAATGATAATTTCTATCGTCTAAAAATCCGCAAAATTCAGTGCAAACCGCGGAGAACAAGAAAGCCCTGAACAAGGAAATCCTCAAGAAGTACGGCGACTTCAAGGTTGAAAATTTCTATGAAAGTTCACAAGAAATAAAAGTTTTACAGGAAAACTGCTTCGCGAAGCCGTCCGGCGGATGCAAGTGCAACGTCGATTTGGGACAAGGCGAAGTCGTTCAGGAGTTCAGCGCCGATGAGGATTGCAAGAAGAGCGTTGAACGTTTGTTTTGAATAATATTTTGAATTTCGAAAAAAAGTAGATTCACGTTCAAAAAAGGAGATTTTCTAAGAAAGCCAAATTTTTTATTTTTTTAATTGATTTTCCGAGTCAATCACAACTTGCTCGTTTCATTCTGTACGGTGATTTATGACTTTTTTTCGAGCAATACGAATATAACTTTAATTTGATAAGGTTTTCTCGAGGTCATTTTAAAACAAGCTTTTTTTACGTTTCATACGCTTTCTAAAAGCAAAAATTTCAAATATGAACGTTTTATTTTTGGTGAGGAACTGAATATAAACATTGTGTATTTTTTCTTCAAAATAATTCTTTGGTTTTGGATTTTTTTTTTATTAGTATTTTTTTTCAGTGTAGGAAATTATTTTTGAGTCTTGACAATAAGGAAATCGGAAATCAAACAGTTCGTGGATTTAAATTTGAAAAAAAAATCCATCTAACGCTTTGAACTTTTTGCCTTTTCGAGTCTTTTTTTCATTTTTTTAATTCTTATTTTTTCAGTCGTCACTGCTGAGCACAAGAAGGAGCTGAACGAGGAGATCAAGGAGAAGTTTGGTGATTTCAAAGTAACTTCTTAATTTATGAAATGATTCAATGATAACTTTGTAGGAGAATTGCTATCCCAAGCCTTCGGGCGGTTGCAAATGCAACGAAAAAGACGGCAGCGGCAACGAGGTCGTCACCGCCTACAACAACGTCGAGCAGTGCCGTGTTTCGGTATGTTTCTTGAATATTACGAGTATAAAGCTATTTGAAGTTTTTAAACTGGAAGATTAAAAAAAGGTCTTAACACAGGTCAATATTATCCTTGAAAAGAAAATTTTTTTTTAAGTTTTTCGACTTGTCAATTTGAATTTAGGTCATTTCCAGCTCATTTTCTCTTCGTGATTTCTCTATTTTCTGTCGATTTCTAGCTCGTGAACGTGAAAAATATAACATTTTTTTTGGTTGGTAAACCTCTTTGAAGAATATTTTCTTCTCCGATTTTCCTGATATTCAAAAAGTTGAAATTTCGCTTGATTAGGTGAAGCAAAAAAATATATATATATTTTTCCTCTCCTTTTGCAATTCACTTTGAATCGTTTCAGCGCGACAAACGTGATGTCGCAGTTCAACAACAGCGACAGCCGCAGGTCGTCGGCCGCGTGACCAAAGATCAATCCCCCAGCCGCACTCAGCCCAACTACGATGTTCGTGACCCAGTCAGGTACACTTCTTTTTGAATTTTTTTTTTCCCGATATTCAACATTTCAGAGAGAAGGCTCAAGCTAACTACGCCGCCGTCCTTGAAGAGTTGAAGACCAAGTTCAAGGGACTGAAGGAGGGATGCTTCCCACGGCCGAAAGGTTTTTTTCTTCGTATTTCAGCGATTTTCAAATCAAAAAACCTCAGGCTGCCTCTGCGTCATTGGAAAAACTCCTGATGGCCGCGACATCACTGAGCGACGCATGAAAGACTCCGACTGCAAGTGCCAAGAAGGAGAAAGAAGTCGTGGCTGCCCCGCTGCTTGAACACACTTCCACTCCTAGAAAGTTTCAATTGTCCTGTAATTATTGTTTTTTTTCTCCTATAACACAACTACCGAATGATTCTGGCTTTTTCCGAAGATAAATTTGTTTTCATGAAACAGACAGCTGCTTGTTGATCAAAACAGCTTCACTTTGTGCCATATGGCAGCTCCTGCGTAAGTCTTGAGAGTATTTTTCCATCAGAGAAGGGAGAAGAAAAATCTGGCGTCAAAGACAATTTACTTCTAAAAAACAATATAAACAGATTCACCATTCACAAGATCTCATGCTACAGTTAACATTCAATGAAATTTAAAGATTATCTTTTATCCGGAGATGAGCCAGTCAGCGTGTGCACACGTCCAAAACGCTTCGCTGGGGCTTTCTGAAACTGACATTTCAAAATTTATCAGTAGAAATTTTAAAATATACCATCGGTGATTTCTTCTTCTCAATTTTCTGAGCCTTCGTTCGAGGAGCGGCTTTTGGTCTGCCACGCGTTTTTTTCTCTTTTGTGCTTCCAGAATGGGAACTTTCTTCTAGGGCCACGACTTCCGTGTCCACCTCCATCTGGAAAAATTCACGATAAGAGAAGGTCCTCGGAAACTAACAGCTTCAGGTTCTTCGTGACGTGATGCAGCTCGCGGGACTTCTACTGCCTTGAAAACAAAAATGCAAAAAGTTTTAGAAAGTTTCTCACTGGAGGAGATTCACGAGCGGAAACATCGTGGGAAGTGAAAGATTGGTAGAGAATTTCGCTCTGTGATAATCCCATATTGTCGGCATATTCTTCCGTCATTTTTTTCAACTTGAGCTCGGCATCAAGTGTATCTTCAAGGTAGATGCTCGTGCAGTTCAAAACCGTACTCAAAACAAATTTTATGAGCTTGAAAGGTCTTATTTCTTACCCATGAAGGCCAGAGCGCACGTTTCCAATCGTTGCAGATTGTATTTCCGGCGGAAGACGGTAGAAAGTTTGTGAATCATGAAACTCACTCACACTGTAATCTTTCGGCGTGTCTGGATTGAATTTTTGTAATTTACTCGAGATATACAAATACTTACGATCCCGAAATTTGATACGAAAATTCGCACTCGCCGTTTCTGGCAAAGGCTTCAGAAGTTTGACGCATAAGTAAATAATAGAGCGCATCATGATTACAAATTGATCACGAACTTTATGCGATCCTTCGTATTTCACAGCGGCTAAACGAACTAGACTACTGTCGCTGTCACTCCCACTAAGCAATTTCAAAATTATTAGGAAATTCTGGATTTTTAACCTGCTCAGCTCTGCATATGGAATTCCATCGTCATAATGCATTTTCCACGTGAAGACCTCAGCGGCGTCATCCTCGTCTTTCTCGTCTAAATAGACAACCAAAGCCAACTCGTCCAGGTAACCGGCCTCAACAATTATATAGGAATGGTACAGGGAAATCACGATTATACAATGATTTTATTTAATCACTTTTTTTTTCGACTTTTTTCTTTTCAAAAATTTAAATACTTCCAGGTTGGACAACTTTCCAGCAACGGTTGCATTTTTTCAGAGAAAGAAAAAGCTAATTAAATTTTGAGTTAGAGATTATTCAACATTCCGCGGAAATAGCTTCAAACACGGCCAAACTAGTATTAAACATACAGAACTGGCTCTTTCTGATACTTGAAAATACAACAATGAAAATTTCGATAGACGCATATTTCTGTAAAACTACCTTTATCGCTTCACCCGCACTCCGAAGTTTAGATGCCACAGTACATCCAATCGAATTTTTGTAGTCTAAGGACTTCACCTTTACGTTTTCTAAATTTTGGAATGAGTTTTTGAAAAAAAAAACATTCTCAACCTGTTATGTACATTGATCTGAAACAATGCTCTGGCAAGATCTTTCGATAACGCAGAACACTGGAAAACGCTACAAAAACTGCTCTAACCATGAACCGTTGCGAGCTGACCTCGTCCGAAAGATTTTGTGGAAAAACAGTTGTCCATTTCTACAAAAAAAAATTTCTAAAAGTTTGAAAAAAGGGCCAACTGAGTTAGTAATCGGCTCGTCCAAATTTTTTTGACGTTGTTCAAAACTGGGCCCTGAGTTTCTCGCATTTCCATCGGGAGGCATTTCTGAAAGTGTTTTTCAATTGAAAAAAAGCTATGATGTGTTCCGCGAAACTCGAAATACAGTAAGGGAATTATTGTGAAAATTTAAATGAAAGTAAACCTACACAAGGAAGGTTTTGGGAATTTCTGGATTGTCACGGTGTTCCGCGCAATGAAAAAAAATGCGAAATTTTGGGTCCCAGCGGCATATTATCCGTGGCGCATTATTGCGCCCTTCTCATGGTTTCTGATGCAAAAAAATTGAATTTCTTCACTTTTTTTCCTTGGTTTTTTTACTTTTTTTCTATTTCTTGCATTTATGTGATCCGCCTCTCTATGGGTACATCTTGTGGAGCTTTTAAATTGCGCATTTTTTTCTAAACCGGTTTCAGATCTTTAACTTTTTTTCTCAAAAAGAGCTGAAGATTTTTTTCTAAAAGTCCTAATTTTTTTCAAAAATTTTGAAATCTGTTTCGCGACATGAAAAAGAGTCACTCTATTTCGGAAACTATAGTTTTTTTAATTTAATCAGTTAATAATAAAAAAAGTTATTATCTAGTTCCTTTGACGTAGTTTAAAAACCGGTTTCGTGTAAATTAGAGCCAAATTGAATTTGCTGATGCAGTTTAATGATTTTTGATATATGCATCATCTAAATTATATATTTTTTTCTAGTTTTTTTGATGGTTTTTTTCGGATTCAAAACAAAAAAATTTCGCCATACGAGGTTTTTCTAAAATTTCTGCTTTCTATCCATTATTTGTTTTTTTCTGAAACTAGGTTTTCGAGGTATATAAAATGTTTTTCATTTGCTTCTCGAATTTTTCCTTATTTCAATATTTTTTTCGTATTTATAAATGCTTATTCAATGGGAGCTGATTCACTTTCATATTATTTTTTGTTTTTACTTTTTAATCAGTAATTTAGAGTTTTCCCCTTTCGAAATCGTTCCTAAATGTTTTTTTTAACGTAAGTGAATGTTTTTTTCACATCATATTCTTCAAAATGACAAATTTCGAACATTTCAGGAGCTATTATCCTGAAATCGCAAATTCTAAAATAGAAAAAAACATTTTGAGTATGCGATATTGCGTCTCGGTGTGCTTACACCCTAAGCATCATAATTTACGAAAAGTCTTGACCTTGCGTAATCACTAAGAATAACTGACGAGATAAAAGCGAGGTCGGTGGCGGTACATTGACGAGCTCGCAAACATCTCGCTTTTTTCAAGGCGCGATCTCGCATTTCTCTCGGCGCGACCTCGCATTTTTCTGGGCGCCATCTCGCATTTATCTCGCACTTCGAAAATTTTCAAATTGCGAGAGAAATGCGAGCTCGCGCCCAGAAAAATGCGAGACCGGCGCGAGAAAAAAAGCGAGATGTTTGCGAGCTCGTCAATGTACCGCCAGTGTCTCGCGTTTATCTCGGCAGTTATTCTTAGTGATGAAAAAAACACCGTGTTGTGTCGACGTTTATCAATCTTAATTCGAAATTTCCAAAATTCGCTATACAAAGTGTCGAAAAATATTCCATGTCACAGAAATTCAAAAGATTTTTTTCAAAAAAATTATTTTGAAGAAAAAAATTTGAAAAAAATTGACTTTTTAAGGTGACGTCAAGAGAAATACTGTAAGCGTCGAAGGAACGCTTCTCATTCGAAGCCTTGCGCCTTTAAGTGACAAAATTTAATTTTATCGATAAAATAATTATCCGGTTTTATTCCGAGTTTCCTGATTTATACTACGGCGTTCAAAGTAATAAAGCATGCTATTCACGACCAAAAGCCACAATTAAGCCCACTGCGCGTCTTTCCTTAGTCAGCAACATCCAACAATGCGTATCCCACCTACTTTTTTTTTCGTTTTCTCTTCGATTTTGGTTTCTTTAAAGGTTTTTGAAGGGGAAAATAGTAAAAATTAGAGCCAATACCTCTACTTTCGCTTTTCCTTCTTTGAAAGTCCTTCTTTTCACGATATGAACTGTTCTAGTTTTTTTTTCAGGCCTTTCAATTCAAAATAAAATGGAAAAACATTTTATCAACTTCGTTTCATAGTACAAGAAGGAAGAAAAGAAGGAAGGAGAACGTTTTGTGTTGAATCGTACCGGTATATCAGCGAATATAAAAAAAAGGAAAATTTAGATTATTCAACGGGTTTCACCACGTTAGGGCCGACATGGAAAAGCTCAGGAAGACAAATTAAGCAACAACAAAAAAATCATATACCAAAATTACATGCGAACAAACTAAATCTGACAAGAATGCAAGAATGTTTTTGAAAAACATTAAAAAATATTGAGAGAAAAGGAAAAGATCAATTGGAAAAATTAGTTAGTTATACATAAAGGAAATTATTTTCATATTCGATTATTTGTTGGGCGTCGGAACGGCCGAAGACGGGGCGCTGGCTGAAAAAAATTGTTTTTTTTTTTGTTTTGTGTTTTATGTTCCTGTTGTAACAGTTCATTTATACGTTTAGAGGATTAATATCCGGACTCCTTTTGAATTTAAAACAGCAAAAAGCTTTGAGTTTTGAAAAAAATTCAATGCAAACTCACGAGCTGACAAATTGGGAGTGGTGGCGGGAGGCTGGGGGAAGACGGGCGGGTAGCAAGGCGTCAGCTGCGGCGCCCAGGCGTTCATCGCCGCCGCGTTGTCCGGCGCGTTCGCTCCGTTCGGTCTCACCATCAGCATTCCTTCAAATTTATTTTTATTGAATCGAAATTGATTAGAGCCTCATTTTTCACTTTGAAAAAGTCTGCAAGGTCAGAAGAGCTTTTTAACAACTCTGAATTTTTCACGACTTTATTTTTTTTTTTAACTTTTTGTCTGAGCTAAAAATGATGAAGAATACTTCAAAAAAATAGTTTTTCTGACCCTCTCATTTTGTGATCGTTTTCTTTTACACCAATTCAGCTAGTTCTACCACAGCAGTTTTTCAATACAAATCCAATATTGAGCCGATTCTCGCAGGTGCTGTGTGGCTGATTAGGTCAAGAAGTAGTTTTTGAAAAAATTCGAATATTTTCACAGTTGTCAGACCCCTTCAGCTCATTTTCTCATCATTTCCGATTCTGAGGAGCTAAACAGATAAATATTGACTTTGTGTTGAATTCCATGTCGTGCCGTAAGAACTGTTTCGGCGGCTAACTTTTGAAATCTCTAGCTATCTTTAACATTTACGCCTATTTTTCTTAATTTTTTGGTTCGTAAATTATTTTGTCAAACCTGTTTTCTAAATTTGCAGCGATTTTTTTCTCAATTATTTGTTCTTTTAAAACTCACCAGGGACATTCATTTGATGAGGACTCGGCTGCTGTGCAGGGGGCATCCCGGGGTGCATATGGGGCGGCATCATCATTCCCGGATGAGGGAATCCGTAGGGCGGGGCCATTCCGTTCTGAAAATTTCAAGGTTTTTGGTGTTACAAGAAAATTTTTTGGGCATTTTCGGATTACTGTATATAGCGAAGTATACGGTTTACGCGTTAACCAATTTTTCATAAACTCTTTGTCATTTTTAATTTTTTTTTTCTCGATTTTCTTTGTGATACTGCTTAAAATCTGTCTTGAGGCAAAGAAAAATCCATCATTATCGATGTGGAAAAAATTATTTTGACTCCGAGATTTTTCTGCCTTTGAAATGAAGAATCTGATAGAAAAGACGACAAGAAATGAGAAAAAAAAAACAAATTGAAAAGCTAAAAAATTGAGTAAGTAAATGGAAAATCAATTCAGGAAGCTCTCAATATTCACCTTGGCCATCCCCATCATCATCTGCTGATAAGCGGGATTCATGGGAAAAGCTCCAGGGGGCGGGGTCATCGACGGCTTGGCGCCGGCGGGCATCTGAGGCATCATCGGGTTGCCCGGGGACATGGCGCCGGGCTTCATGTGAGCCATCTGCGCGTAGAAATGCTGCATCATGTGAGGCGGGACGGGCATCCGCGGGCCTCCGGGGGCATGCCCGCCATCGGCTGAGGGAATCCTGGGGAGGGGAATGGCGGCATCTTGCCGGGCGCCGACATTGGGTAACCTGAAAATTGGAGAGGTTTGGTTGGGATTTTTTTAGAACTTTGAAATTTCATTAAAAAGTTTAATTATCTAGGCTTCAGGATTTTATGTTATAAAGATTGATTTTTCATTTAATGGGCTAAGAACTGAAAAAAGGGTCAGGGTTATGCAAAATATGGCCCCTACAAGACTAGGGGAAACGAAAAATTGAAGGGTTTGCACAAACTTCACGTGATAAATGGGCTTCTTGATCACCCAATAAAGGTACAATAATTTTAACGTTATCACTAATCAACTAATTAATCCCTAAATCATCTAAAGAGAGAATAAAATTTACCAGGCGGAATGCCGTGGGGGAAAAAGTGAGGAGGGTAGGGTCCGGGCATCGGCGGCATGTTCGGGAGACCCGGGTAGCCGGGCGGGAAGGCGCCGGCGGAGAATGGACCGGCCGCGGCGCTGGTCGGCGGCTGGACTCCCGCGGGCATCCCGCCGGGCATCATGGCCGGATTTCCAGGGGGAAATCCCGGCATCGGATACTGTGGCGACATGTACGGCTGCTGCTGCTGCATTCGCTTCATTTGCATCTGAAAATTTGGAACTTTTGAATTTTTTTTTTTCTTTTTCTACTGAGAAAAGCCAGAGTGGTCACTATAGGGATTAGGGAGAAAAGCCACTATAGGGGCCAAAAAAGTAGTCCTTATAGGGGTAAAGTTAAGGTGGTCCTTATAGGGGTTTAGGGAAAAAGTATCTATAAGGGAAAAAAAAAGTGTCCCCTACAGGAGTTAAATTTAAGTGGTCGCTATAGGGGTTTAGAATGAATTTCCCCAGCCGTTGAAGCTCAATTGGTCCCTATAGGGATTAGGGACAAAAGCCACTATGAGGGACAAAAAAGTGCCTCTTACAGGGATGAAATTCAAGTGGTCGCTATAGGGTTTTAGGACGGACCCCCAAACTGTTTAACCTCAAGTGGTCCCTAGAGGGGTTAGGGGAAAACAGCGGCCCTTTAGAGGCAAAAAGTGTCCTCTTTAGGGGTTTAAGTTCAGACCGCCGACGTACTCAAACAAGTGGCCCCTATGGGGAGTTTTTTTTTTCAAATTTGTGTTCCTATTTGAAAGTTAAGAAGACAAACTCGATCACTCTATTAACGGTGGATTTTTTCACCATTCAAATAACGCTTATTTATTAAAAACTAAACCACTCTAGGGACCACTAGCATGCTTCTCCTAGGGGCAATAAAGCTTGCAAAAGTGACCCCTATAGGGAATTTTTAAGGATCCTAAATTTGCCACTATAGGGACCCCTAGGATTTCCTAAGATGCTCCTTTAAAAACCTAGAAAAACAATTTTTTGTTCATCTTTTCAAAACGAGAAATCCAATAGAAAGTTTCTGAAAATAAAAAAAAAACTAGAATTTCCCAGCTAGAAACGAATTTTTGAACAAATCTTTCTGAAAATCGTAAAAATTGTCTATAATTACTCAATAACAAAAAAAGATTAACCTGATAATTCTGATGCATGATTTCGCGCTGTTTCATCATCTCCTGCTCGACTTGGACCTGCTTGCCGATGTCGTCCAATTTCTCAAGTTTCGCCGCTCGTTCGTCCCTAAAATGACCACTTTTCCATTTTTCCATGGAATTTTTTTACTTTTTCGCGGGAGCATCAACGACATCATTGAGGATGGTGTGGAACTGTTGGGAGTTGGTCATAAGTTCCATTTTTCTGAAAAAAATGTCTTTATTTTCTTATTTTTCACTGTCTTTTATTATAACATTTGTTATTTTCTGATAAAAATCCGAAAAAGGGCTGAAAATTTATGGGGCGCGCGCAAGTCGTTTCGGGTCCGGCGCAACTCAAATCACGCGCTTAGCCATTCTACATGCGACCATGAGTCAATTAAGTGGAAACTCAAGAGAAAAAAGTAATTTTTGATGAAAATTAGTCAGTTTGAAGGCCGAAAAAGCTAAATTTTCAAGCTTCTCCCCCTCTAACATGAGCAATACCAACTTGAGCGGATTCTCCTCAGGTTTCGGCGGCAAAGGCGAATTTTCCGCCGTTCCAGACTCGGTTTTCGCGATTTTCGCCTCTTTTTGGACGTCATCCTCCTAAAAATAGATTTTGATAGAAATTTCTTTAAAAAACGAACATTTTTCCGCTTGACGCCTTTCCGTCCCTCGTTTGACATCGGCCCTTCGCTCAACGGGGTCAGGACTTTTTCCTGGAAATTTCATGATTTTTGATCTTGAAAAAAGATCTCTTTTTGAGCATTTCAAAAGGAAAAAAATTATTTCAAAGACATTTTTTTCGAAAAAAATCGAAAAAAACCTTGCCCAAAAACTGAGCGTTTTTTTATGAAGCTTACTTAAAATGATGTCTGAAAAAAACCGCCAAAAATTCAAAAAAATTTATGAATGAATTTTACTTAAAAAAATTTTTTTTTCTCATTTTGACTGTTTCAAACTGAAAAAAATTCTGATTCATTCCCAAAAAAATTCTGTGCATTAATAAACGGATAAACTAAAAATTTAGGAAGATTATTCCAAATTTTTTTCATCACGACAATTTAAAAAAACTGCGTTGATGTCTGGAAAAAAATAGCCATATTCGAGAAATTTCTGAATGAATTTACTTCAAAAATTTTTTTCTAATTCCAATTTTTTTAGTTACTGCGAAAAAAATGTTTTTTTCTCATTGTAGGTAACTTAATGGGATAGAAATATTCTTGATTTCTTTCTTTGAAAAAAATCCAAAAAAATCTTGGACAAAAAAAGAGGTGATAAACTTACATTTATAAAAAAATTAGAAATCATAAAGCTCGCTTAAAAACTTAAATCACGAACGCTCAAAAAGTGTATTAACTTTTGGAAAACCCGCCAAATTCTAAAGATCCTTAAGAAAGTTAGTTTAAAAACTTTTATTTTTACAAGTTCAAATAAATCAATTTTCTCATATTTGAGCTTGATAAACGGACAAAAATGGACAATTTTCCTGGATTTTTTTTTTCATTCTTTCCTCATTTCTTCATCTGAAAGGATGTTAATTTTTTGATGGTGAACTTAGAAAAAGGCAAAATAGATAACTATACTGTTTCTATGGTGATAAGGTTCTTAATTTTGCATTTTCTACTTATTTTTTTTTTATTGAAAAGATCAAATCAAACATCATGAGGACTGAAAGGCAGAGTGGGGGTCAGGACGGCGGGCACCGTGGCATTGGAGGCGGGCTGCGGGAGGTCGAGGGGCGGCGCCGAGTTGGGCGTTCGGGCCGCGGAGTTGGGCCGCGCTTGGGCCTCGAGTTCGGGCCTCCGCCGTCGCTGATGCCATTCGAAGAGAGTCCCGTAGGTGCCTTTCTCCCGTTCCATGTCCAACACGGCTTGGTTGGCCATGTCCGTTCTGGAAATTATTAGTTTTTCAAGTTTCATCAGGATTTTCGGGTTGGAATCCCTAAAAATAGCTGAAATTTCTTTCAAATCGCTTCAGAATTATTGGGTTAAACCTTCTAAAAACTGCCTTATTTTTCTCAATTTTCTGCTCAAAAAGCCTTTAAATTGGTAATAAAAAAATAAAGACAAGCCCAAAAAAACTTACAGATCCCACTAAAAAAATGATAAAATTGTTAAAAAAATACTCAATAAAGCCTAAAAAAATCCCCATTTTCCTGGTTCAGTTAGGGGAATCTCAAGCTGTACAACAAAGTTACGAAATCGATTTAATCCAATAATTTTTTTCCTGATTTTCGAGAAATTTGCATAAAAAAACTCCAAAGACCCTAAAAATAATATTTCAAAAAAACTCGTTAAGAACTCTCAAATAAGCTTGATAAATCCAATGTTTCCCGTTCATTTAGGGAATTTAAAAACTCTATGAGTAAGTTTCAAAAATCAGTCTTATTTTGACCGATTTTTCTTAATATTTCCCCAAAAAGTTTGCTCAAAAACTGAAGATACCACAAAAAATGGTAAAATTGTTAGAATACTCAATGAAGCTAAAAAAATTCACATATTTATGAATCTGTTTGGAAATTTAAACTTTCTTATAAAGTTTCGAAACTTCTCCTTTTTTTGACCGATAATCCTGAATATTCCCACAAAAAAATTTGCTCAAAAAAACTAAAGATCCTACTCAAAATGGTAAAGTTGTTAAAAAAATGTTCAATCAAGCTTAAATATTCCCATTTCTCTGGTTCAGTTTGGGAATTTCAAACTCTATAAGAAAATTTTGAAATCGCTCTTATTTCAATTATTTTTCATAAACTTCTAGAACAAGTTTCCCCAAAATCCCAAAAAAAGCTAATAAAATATGTAAAAAATACTCATTCAAGCTTTTGATTGAACCTCAAAAAATCCAAATTTTTAATTTTTTTTTGGAAAAATTTGCAAAAGCCCCCCACTCCTATTGCAATCAATTTTTTCTAAAATTCTCAAAAAAACAAAAATTCCAAAAAAATATTAATACACTTTTAAACATTGTTCAAAGCGCTAGATTCCCTTAAAAACCTTCAAATTTTCCGAAAAGTTCCAAATTTTCTCAGAAAATCTTCTAGGAAGAACTTATTCGCATGAAATTATAATTTTCCTGGATTTCTACCTCCACGCCACAGATCTGTCTGTGAGCAAACTATAAACATTTTAAACTTTTGATCTATTGCGAACAAAAATAGATGAAAAAAGACGCCCCCTTACAGACTTTTAGCACATAAAAATTCAAAAAATTCCGTTTTTTGACGAAAAACTGACGTAAAATAGACGTAATCCCTAGAAGCGGCGGTTTCTGGAGGCGACGTCGCTTCGTGGCTCGAAGGCACCGATCGGGCCATCGCCGGCGAGGAATTCGAGGCCTGGAACATGCAAAATATCACTAAAAAAACAGGGTGGAATTCCAAATTCAAGGCAGGAAAAATGTATTATTAAGCCTTGAAAAAAATGAAAAAAATTTAGGAATTTTTTTCTTTTAGAACTTGGAAGAAGAACTGCGGGGGAGACTGTGAAAATCTCAAAAATTCTGATTTTTTTCTTACGAAAAAAATACAAAAAAAGGGTACAAGAAAAACCTGAATTCACACTGAAAAATAATGGTACTTCAAAAACTTCCTGAAAAAAATGCAAAAAAATTAAAATTTTTGAGCTCTAAAAAAACACTAAAAAAAGCTGCTTTGAAGCATTATTATCAAAGTCAAACTCTGAAAAAAATTTAATATTTTTTTGAAGAAAAAAATTAGATTTTAACATGAAACGAGAGGACTTATAGCGACAACTTATTCTAGAAACATCTTAATTTTTTTAAATATCTTTTTTTGTCCTATAATTCTCTCAAATAATACCTACCCAACCTATTGAAAAAAAACTAAATAACACAAAAAAAAACATCAAAAAATGTCAAAACCAAGAAATTTTGGAAGAAAAAAAAATTTTTTTTTGAAAATTCATAAAAAGGTACATTCATACTGGTAAGGATGCTGCTTGAAAGCCTTAAAAATCTTTTTAAGCTTCGAAAAATTAAAGATTTCGTTTTTCGGAAGGTAATATCTTATGCTGCAAGAACGGAAAATTTTCCTAATTTCTGTTCTTTCAAAATAAAACGGTTATTATATATACTTTTGATATTTCTGTAAATAATACTAACCAGAAACTTCTAAAAGCGTTATATTACATTTTTAAAACAACTAATTAACCAATTAACCTTATTAAAGCCATCGCTAGTGGAAGGACGGTCGCCACAACTCGAGGCGGAGCCCTTGTTCGAGTCGTAAGATGACGACGACGCCGGCGAGCACGTCGACATCTTCTGGAGACCCGAAAGGACTTCTGAAAACATAGATATCATAGAAACATCACAAGAGAATCAAAGAAATAGAAGAAAAAGCGTAAAAAAAGAGATTTTTCCCCGGAACGAGTTGACATTTTCAAATTTCGCGGTAAATTATCCATGGAGCGCACATGACTAGATGCGGTAAAGTTTGGAATTCTTGCAACTTCTGAGGAACTTTTGAGGGCTTCCTATAGGGTTTTTTATAAGGACCCTACTTTGATTTCTATAGAGGTTCTAAAACAACAAACCCCTATAGGGACCCCTTAGTTCTAGAGCATGGAAGCTAGGTTTTTCAGTAGTTATTCGGGAAAATATGAAGATATTTTGAATTTTTCCTTCTATTTTCCCTAAGAAAATATCAGGAAACTCGTTAGAAAGAGGATTTTTCCCCGGAACGAGTTGACATTTTTCAAATTTCGCGGTAGTTTATCCGTGGAGCGCACATGACTAGATGCGGTAAAGTTTGGATTTCTTACAACTTCTGGGGAACTTTTGAGGGCTTCCTATAGGGTTTTTTATAAGGACCCTACTTTGATTTCTATAGAGGTTCTGAAACAACAAACCCCTATAGGGACCCCTTTAGTTCTAGAGCATGGAAGCTGGGTTTTTTTCAGTAGTTATTCGGGAAAATAATAAGAATTTTCGAAGTTTTCCTTCTATTTTTCCCACGAAAACAAAAAGAAAATCGTTAAAAAGAGGATTTTTCCCCGGAATGAGTTGACATTTTCAAATTTCGCGGCAGTTTATCCGTGGAGCGCACATGACTAGATGCGGTAAAGTTTGGATTTCTTACAACTTCTGGGGAACTTTTGAGGGCTTCCTATAGGGTTTTTTATAAGGACCCTACTTTGATTTCTATAGAGGTTCTGAAACAACAAACCCCTATAGGGACCCCTTAGTTCTAGAGCATGGAAGCTGGGTTTTTCAGTAGTTATTCGGGAAAATAATAAGAATTTTCGAAGTTTTCCTTCTATTTTTCCCACGAAAACAAAAGAAAATCGTTAAAAAGAGGATTTTTCCCCGGAATGAGTTGACATTTTCAAATTTCGCGGCAGTTTATCCGTGGAGCGCACATGACTAGATGCGGTAAAGTTTGGAATTCTTGCAACTTCTGGGGAACTTTTGAGGGCTTCCTATAGGGTTTTTTATAAGGACCCTACTTTGATTTCTATAGAGGTTCTGAAACAACAAACCCCTATAGGGACCCCTTAGTTCTAGAGCATGGAAGCTAGGTTTTTTTCAGTAGAATTCGGGAAAAATATGAAGATATTTTTGAATTTTATTGCCTTGAAAAAAATCCCAAAAAAAGTTTTTTTAAGGTACAAAACTTCAGGAAATTATGAAAAAAATAGAAGTTTTTTTAAAAGCTTCCTCGAGATTTCTAGTCTAAAAACTCTCTAAAATCTAAGTTATCTACTACTACTAGGCTCAAGACCTTTAGAAAATGTCAAATAAAGGTCCCGTTCTGCAAAACGAATGACTAATGTCTGATTGGAATTTCTAAAAAATGGAACTTTTGCGCATTTATTTGAGCGTAAATTTATGAAAAACATATGACTAACGTCTAATTGGAACAGATAAACATGTTAATTTGAGCGGAAACGGAGGATTTTTCCAATTTTCACGCTTCAAAATCACTAGAGTTCAATTTTTAGTGCGCAAAGGTTTGAAGAAAATGTGGGCGGAATATCCAAAAACGCGCGAAAAAGTTCGTCAACGCACAAGTTTCTGTATAAACAAACAGTCTATTCATAAAGTTTCGAAAGTTGGAACAATGGTTCTGGTGACCTCTAGCCACAGACATCTGCGGACAAAGAAGCGGAAAAAGTGTTCGAAAAACAAAAGACAAAGGAGCCGAGTTCAAAAGAGCAAGAGGAAAAAGTTGGGAAAACTTTGAAAGTTACTGGGAAGATTTTTAGAGACCCCTATAGAGGCTCACCAAGGAGTACTTGGAGAGAACACTAAAGTGGCCACTAAACCCACCTCTATAGTGGCCACTATTCTCCGTTGTAGTGGCCACTTGAGTAGTTTTTCATCCAGTATTCCTTCCAGTAACTCTGATAATTTTAAAAACAAACATATTGAACCAGTTATATTGATCCATTGACCCCTAAAGTGGCCACTAAGTGGTCTAGAGGTAGCACTTAGACCTCTATAGTGGCCACTAACTTTTAACCCCTTAAGTGGCCACTAATTTGACTGCTATAGTGGTCACTTAAAATTTTCCTAGTAACTTTTTGATCTTACAGCAACGGTTCTATCTAAAATTTGAAGTTTTTCTTTTTTTTTTTAAAGGCTTCTGATCCTTTCGAATTTCAATTGAGTCAATTGAAAAATTCTCAGCATAAGTTAAACTTTTAAATTCGAATATACAACAGAGAAATCCGATCCAATCAAAATTTGAACAGAAATTCCTAGTTTTTGTTTCGAAATTCAGTTTTTAAAGCATTTTTTCCGTCTTGTACAGCTCTTTCTAGTTCACTATTGCATTAGGATTCAAAAATATTAATATTTAAAAAAATTATTTTTTTGAAATAAAAGACTTTGAAAAAAATATCACATAGACTAATAACCATATAAATGCGTATTTTCGGCTATAACTCTGTTGGAAATTATCGAAATTTGCTGAAAAAATGTTTGAAAATAGTCGAGAAGAAGGAAAATATAATCCATTACATCATTTGATGAAATATGAGGTCATTTTATATTTTTTAAAGCAATTCTATTGATAATTTATTTTCTTGAGACAATTTCAGAACCATTGAACATCAAAAAACACTGCAAAATGACTATTTTTTACCAAATTGGGGTTGAAAAATTGAAATTTTTGCACTCCTATGTCTTCTAGTTGATCTAAAAGCGCTATGAAAAATTTCAAATGCCCTTAAAAATATGATAAATCAAAAAGAGACATGGAGAAAGTTGGAAAGAAGGCACAAAAAAGGCAACATGGGAACCAAAAAAGGAAGGAAGGGAGGAGGAGGTTGACAGGACGTTGGCCGATGACTCAGGGACCTGACCTCAGTGCTCCGGCCGACCCTCGACCCGATGCCAATTAACATTGAGCCACTGGGAGAAACGGAGACCCCAACATTGCCTTTATTTGGATTCCCCACACTTTTGTTTTCATTTCTCGTTTTTTTTCGAGTTTGAAATCAAAAAATTCATGAAATATACTCGGACGTTTCTGTGCATTTCTAGGGATCACTTAAGAGTTCTGACGGTACTAAAGTGGTCACTTGAAAAGTTCGGATCCCGAGGTATGAGGAAAGTTTGGGGCGCACGTATATCGAAGCTTTTGGCGGCAGAGGAAACTCAGGAAAGGCAGAGTGGTCCCTTTAGGGGTTGACCCCCTGGTGGATAAACATTGCTCCCTAGATGGGAAAATTCAAGTGACCCCTATAGGGTTTTAGGGAACAAAAACACCCTATGGAGGACAAATTATAGCTCCCTAGATGGGAAAATTTAAGTGGTCCCTATAGGTGCCATAAGGTCTGCCCTCTGATCCCCTGAAGCTAAAGTAGTCCCCATAGGGGGTTAAGAATCTGACCCCTAAAGCCCATGAAGCTTGAGTGGTCCCTAAAGGGGGTTTTATTTGTTGTTGTTAAGACTCGAAATTTAAAAAAAAACGTTTTTTTTTCCAATTTAAAACAAAATGCTCTGTTGATCAATTTCTATTCGAAAAACGCTAACTTTTGGTTTTTTGTATGGAAATGCTTCTTCTCACAGAGTTAATAACAATAATCGACTAGCCTGCGTCCCTAAAGTGGCCACTAGCTAAAACCCTTATAGGGACCCCTTTTCAAGGGTTAGTGACCCCTATATGAAAGGTAAAATGGTCGCTAAAGATGAACCTTCAGAGGCCCCTATAGGGACCACTCTGGAGTTCCCAATTTATTCGAAAGCCGGTTTTCTCAAGAAATTTGAAAGAAAGCTTGAAATTGTCCTTGTTTCAAGGAGAAAATCACTGGGAGAACTGCTGAAGATGAAGAAATCAATTTGAAGACCAAAAAAAGGCCTTTTAAAAGAAAATCTCAAGTTTTTGTATTTCTAATCTAACTAAACTTGGAAATAAAATATTGGAATTTTGAAAAATTTATTAAGAATCTGATGAAGTTCGAAATTCGTTGAAAATTCATTGCTGAACTTTAAAAAAAAGTCATTTAATAAATCTCTGAAGACGTGGAGCTTTTTTCAATGTTATCATTGCTCAAATGAGATTTACCGAAAATATATAGATCTCATAAAAATACACCAAACTTATTTTAACACTAAACTCTATTGAAACACGTTTTGAAGAGCAAGAAGCGGAAAAATCGAAGCAAAGACTCGATTTCTCTTTCTTTTTCAATTTCACTAAAACATAGGGAAGGAATGGAAAAAAAAGAAAAGGAACGATTAGAATGGAAATGAGATTCGCGGTGGGAGAGAAAAAGGGCAAGTTCTGCCCGCGGAGAACCACTAAAAATGAGCCAGACACGTCTTTTTTTTGCGGCATTTTGAAATTTGTCCTTTCGCGCCAGAACCTGGGAAGTTCTGGATATTCGGATTCCAGAGAAAGAATTCAAGATTTTAAATATTCATTCAACACGTTAATGTAAATTCTACGTATGGAGCCCTCAAATATCGAAAAATTTATCAAGCGGAACCATCCAAAGTGTTAATTTCACTGATAAGAAACGATAGCTTGGAACGTGTTGAAATAACAGTAAATAATCGAATTTAACAAAAAATATATTCCCCTATAGCTTCATCAATCAAGATAAATTCGAAAATTGAAAAAAAAAACCAACCCTTTCACGCTATTTCCTCGCCTCTACGTAGCAATCAGTAATTTGAGTGAAATTAAACCCTGAAATAAGCTTTTTTAAAATTATTTTTCGATCAAAAGCAGTTTCCGTGTTACAAAGCGTATTTTCAACATATAAAATCAATTGTAAAACGATGGAAAAATGGTTTCTTGGGAGAAAACG